TGCTATTGTAAGTAACACTGCAATTAACATAGAGGTGCATATATTCTTTCATATTTGTGTTTTGGGTTTCTTTGGATATATTCCCAGAAGTGGAATTGCTGGATCCAATTATGATGTTTTAAAATAGGAAAGTGTGCAAGACCCTGCTCAGTAAACCCATGCTGAGGTGGAGGTGAGGAGACAGAGAAGACAAACTATCCTTTTGATGGTGAAGGTAAACTTCAAAGGGGCAACTAACACTTGAGTTATAAAAGACATGTAGGCTGTCTTCAGATAGGCATGAAGCGGGTCAATGTGAAAGCAGGTCCAAAAGCAGAAAGGATGAAAGTGATGCTCTTTACAGGGCTGGAGTCCAGGGTCCATGTAGAAAGTGGTAAAACAAAAGCCTGTAAGTAGAGACCAAATCAAGAGGCTTGCAGCTTATCCAACAGCAGTGGAGAGCCATGGATCACGTTTCATTACAAGGCACCAGAGCAGTGTTCTTACTCCAGGGCAGTCCTGTACTCCAGTCTCTGATACATCTATTCATTCTGGAGAATTAATGACCCATGAGCTCTCAGGTAAAGAAAGCAAGCTCTGGGTTGATCTACAGGCATGAAGCAAGAGGTGTGAATGGTATTTGGTGAGGGAACATGCAGGATATCACTGTAGGTATGCCTGACCTTTGTTTCAGGGGAAGAATCATTAGTTCAATTTTTAGAGGACAAAGAACTAACATCTCTGTTTCTGTCTCTTTTCACCACCCAGAGGCTGCTCTTGTCTTCAGAATTCTTCAGATCCTGTCCCTGGCATGACAGGGACTGGTTTGGGGAAACAGCACCCTCTAGAGGAAAGAGTACAAGTGTTTCAGGTGGGACAGTAACCATTTCCAGAACTTTGGCTTGCTCCTTTCCCAGGGGCCTGGCCAGCTGGTAGTAGAGTGTAGCTGATTTTGTTTATCTGCTTCTGACTCTTTTCACCGCTGAGTACAAGCTGCTTGGCCGTGGGTGGTGGCACAACAGCTGGGAGCTGCAGATAACAGCTGCAGGAGGCAGATCTAAAGGTTAACAACAGCAGGCACACAGCTGGAGGCAGCAATCACAACAGAGTTTTAGCCAGTAGCTCAAATCTCCAGTGCCCACAAGTCTGTAGCCTCAACACTGGGCTCTAGAAGCTCCAGGCTCTGTCTTCTCTGTCTCAGCTGTGATCCTCCATACAGGGTACCACAGAGGCACCTCCTGAAAACACAAGACCCATGAGAATGAACCTGGGTAACTCAGAAATAGTTGCTACACTTACAAAGTTCTGGACCAGGAGCCAGACTCTACCATTAATCAACTTGGGGCAAATCTCTCTGAGCCTTAGTTTCTAATGGTGCCTTTTCTATTGACCTCATGGTGCAGGGTCAACTTACATATTTATAGATAGTAAAGTGATCTGTAATCAGAGACTATTGTTTTGGGAATGATAAGCAAGGCTTTCCTCGTGTCCCAGGAGCTTCCATTCCCCCCCCCCCCCCCCGCCCCCGACATGCAGAATCTCTGCTCAGCACAAACAAAGCTGGACTTCGATGAAGAATCCCTGAAGGTCACCATAGGAAGTGCCAGGGTAGAGATGGGGAGGAGGAGGCAGGCATTTTTATATCTGTGAGTGGAAGCTTAAAGACAGTCTTTCAATCTCCCAACCAAAGCTTTAATCTCCTCTAAAGAATCTCTGAAAAATACTCATCTAACCTATCCTTGAACACCTCCAGGAACAAGAAGTCACTACCTTTTGAGAAGCTCTTTCCACATTTGGATGTCCTCATTGTTACAGTGTTCTTTGTCATGTCAATCTAGATCTTACCCCCTGTGGTTTGAACTCACTGGTCCTGTTGTTCCTCTTGAAGCTCAAAGAAAAGTCCAAACCCTTCAAACAAAATATTTGCACACAGCCATCATATCCTTCAGATAATTTTTTTCCTGATTAAACTTTGATTTCCTTCAACCATTTCTTCTATGTTCTGGTTCTGAATCTTCTCATAAGCTGATTGTTCTTGATACTCCATATTGCAGGTGTGGGTGAAACAGAGCAGAACAGAATCATCTACTTCCTTATTATAGATACTTCAATTCAACTAAAGTAGCCTAAAATTGCATTGCTATTTTGGTGACCAATACACATAGTTAATTCATACATGATTATTTTCTGCCAAAATCTATTGTCATGGTTCTGCTTTCCAATTCAGACCTTGCTCAGGTAATTTTTGGACACAAATATGTAATCCAACATTTATCATTTTTGTTAGATTTGGCCCATTCCTCTATCTCCTTTTGGATCCAAATTCTGCTCCCAGTTTTTCGTTTGAGATCTGTCCAAGCTTTGTGTCATCCACATAATTGATGGCCACATGTAAAAGGGCAAGCCCACAGATAAGGCTTTCTGGTATATCACTATAAAACTGATTCCAGGCTATCATGATCCACTCACCAGTACCACCGATTTTTATTTTTATTTTTAACTTACGTAGTTATAGTAGCATTCTGTTCATTTTTCTCTGTTGTATCCCGAAGGACATAATGAGAGATCTTGTCAAATATTTTGCTTAGATGTGTTTTATCTATTGCATTTCTCGGATTTGCCAATTTGTTAACCTTGTTATAGTAGGAAATTAGGTTAGTTTGATATGACTTGTTCTTAGTAATCCTAGGTAGGTCCTACTGATAACTGCTTTTCCTCCACTCTACCCAAGTACTCACAATCTTAATGTTCCATTCTAGAATCTTGTCTAGGATCAATATCTCACCTGTTTGTAGTTTGTGAAATGTACCTCATTTTTCTTATTGAAATTTAAAATTATGTTCACTCATCCAGAGCTTTCCAGCACTTCCTCTGTTCTCTAAGAGTTCCTCAAAATCTCTTAGATCTCTTAGAGAGTTTTTATATCTTTTCAAGAGTTTGAGGATCAAATGAGAGGGCATACTAATATGTAAACTAACATAGTATATAGATGCAGGCATTGTGGTGGCTGTTTCTTTCTTTTTTTTTTTTTTTTTTATAGAGTGGGAGGGAGAGAGAGGAAGGGAGAGAGAGAAACATCGACGTGAAGGGACACATCGAGTGCCCGCCACCCGCACGACCAACCAGGGCCGAGGACAAACTGCAACCAAAGTACGTGCCCTTAGCGGGAACCGAACCTGGGTCTCTCCGGACCGCAGGAGGACGCTCTAACCGCTGAGCCAAGCCGGCCAGGGCTGGTGGCTGTTTCTTAATATTTCTACTACTACTGAGTACTGAATGGGGCTTTACTAGGGATCTAAATAAGAATTCTTCAACCTGGCTGGTGTGGCTCAGTTGGTTGGGCATCATCCCATGCACCAAAAGGTTGCCAGTGCGATTCCCAGTCAGGGTACATGCCCGGGTTGCAGGCTCGATCCCCTGTAGAGAACCTGCAGGAAGCAGCTGATCAATGTTTTGCTCTCACATCGATGTTTCTCTCCCTTCCTCTCTAAAAATCAATAAAAATGTTATAAAAAAATAATTATTCAAACTTCAGAACTATAGAGCTTTGCTTTTGCTCCAAAGTAGCTAAAGATATTGGGAAGTGATGACATTCAGATCTGACTGAGTAGTCTCTCTTGGGCAAATGTCCCAAATGGGTGGTGGTAAAATGGGCTCCTGTTGCCTCTGAACATTCTGGGATTCTCATCCATTGGTGGTCTCCAATCTAGCGACTACTTGGGTGGGTATATGAATGGGCCCAAATAATTTAGAGTTCTCAAGGCATAAGGCCATAGAGAAGATAGAGTAGGGGTCAGTGTGAAGAAGAATGATAAAACACAGTGGCTCAGACTTCTCAGACAGGAGAATGTGTGAGCCTCTCTGTTCTCCAAGAAGGACCAAACTCTGCAGAGATTACCCTCTTCCTCCTGGAAGATCTGGCCATCAGCTCCAGAGTCAAAGAGCTCAAGTGATTTAAATTCTTTCTCTGCTGGAAAAGTACAAGTTACTCTTTGGGCAGGGATGCCAGATGCCTTAAATTAAGTGAGCTGTCTCCTATTTCAGAGCCTGTCCCACTTTCTACTATCAGGATGTAAGCTTGTGCAGACATAGCCACTAACATACACTCTTAATCTTCCCACTTCACTCAGTTAAGACAATTTTGCCGCCTCCAATTGGGCATTTCTCCCAGTCCTTGGGAAAATGGATTGTTGCTTCTCCTCCACCATTGCTTATTTTTTCTTGCTCTTTTTGTCCTGTCTGTGCTCTTCTTAATACTACTCCAGATCCTAACCCAGGCCAGAGTTGCCCAGATGATGCAAATAGATGATGATGATGATGATGATGATACTAATACTAATACTAATACTAATACTAATACTAATACTAATACTAATACTAATACCTACTGAAATGGGCTGGGTGCTTAGAGAACATCTTGAAGGGTGGAAGAATGGGCAGTTTCTGCTGTTTTCTGAGTCAGATGAATATCTTAGTATTGAGTATTGACTTGGGGCTCGGGGAAAGAATGGAGAAATTAAGGGTATGTGAGTGTTAAGGGGGATTGGCCTGCAAGAATCTCAACAGGGTAGTCATTCTTGCTCATGTCATTCATGAGGGTGGGGAAGGATTCAGAATTAGGGAGCTTCAAAGAATTGGTTTTGTGGTAAATGGAGACCAGTAGAGCCCCTCTTTACTCTGGCCCCACCTTCAAGGAACTGTGAACATATTACTCTTTCCCCTCTGCCTCTCCTAAGAATTACAAATATTAGATTGTATTGTAATTATTTGTTTACTGAACACATGTGTTTCTCACTAGGCTGTGAGTTCTTGGAGAACAAGGATGATGTCATTTTCATCTTTGACTTAACGGCATCTTGCACTGTGCCTGGCATATAGGAAGTGCTCAATAAATATTTACTAATAAAATAACAAATCAGTGGTATCAAAATGAATGTTACTTCTTCCTTCCCATGGGGTGGTGGCTAGGAGTTGGCTGGATTTCTGCAATAACCTCCATTATACTGTCTTGCTCCCTCCAGATGACATCAGTTGCCAAGGTATATTACAGTCAGACCACTCAGACAGAAAGCCGGCCCTTAATGGGCCCAGGGATACGACGGCGGAGAGTTCTGACAAAAGATGGTCGCAGCAATGTGAGAATGGAGCACATTGCTGACAAGCGCTTCCTCTACCTCAAGGACCTGTGGACAACCTTCATCGACATGCAGTGGCGTTACAAGCTTCTGCTCTTCTCTGCGACTTTTGCGGGCACCTGGTTCCTCTTTGGCGTTGTGTGGTATCTGGTAGCTGTAGCCCATGGGGACCTGCTGGAGCTGGGCCCCCCAGCTAACCATACCCCCTGTGTGGTACAGGTGCACACACTCACTGGGGCCTTCCTCTTCTCCCTTGAATCCCAGACCACCATTGGCTATGGTTTCCGCTACATCAGTGAGGAGTGCCCACTGGCCATCGTACTTCTGATTGCTCAGCTGGTGCTCACCACCATCCTGGAAATCTTCATCACAGGTACCTTCCTGGCGAAGATTGCTCGGCCCAAGAAGCGGGCTGAAACCATCCGTTTCAGCCAGCATGCGGTTGTAGCTGCCCACAATGGGAAGCCTTGCCTTATGATTCGAGTTGCCAACATGCGTAAGAGCCTTCTCATTGGCTGCCAGGTGACTGGCAAACTGCTTCAGACCCACCAGACCAAGGAGGGTGAGAATATCCGGCTGAACCAGGTCAACGTGACTTTTCAAGTAGACACGGCTTCTGACAGCCCCTTCCTCATTCTACCCCTTACCTTCTACCATGTGGTAGATGAGACCAGTCCCTTAAAAGACCTCCCCCTTCGCAGTGGTGAGGGTGACTTTGAGCTGGTGCTGATTCTAAGTGGGACAGTGGAATCCACTAGTGCCACCTGCCAAGTGCGTACTTCCTACCTGCCAGAGGAGATTCTTTGGGGCTATGAGTTCACACCTGCCATCTCACTGTCAGCCAGTGGCAAATACATAGCTGACTTCAGCCTTTTTGACCAAGTTGTGAAAGTGGCCCCTCCTAGTGGCCTACGTGACAGCACTGTATGCTATGGAGACCCCGAAAAGCTCAAGCTGGAGGAGTCATTCAGGGAACAAGCTGAGAAGGAGGGCAGTGCCCTTAGTGTGCGCATCAGCAACGTCTGATAGCTTGGTTTCCCACCTCCCTATCCCTTTAGTCTTGCTTCTTTTTTCTTTGGCACTCTGGGTGAGCACATTACCCAGGCTTACTGGAGAGTTCCAGATGCACCCATTCCTTATGCTCTCTCCTTTAACCCAGTGGCCTGTGGGTAGTCTAGGCCAACTGGAGTCCAAGTTTTCCTCCCATTCTCCCCTTTCACCTCATCCCATTTCCACAGCATTATATACACACCCCTTAAGCCAGGATGGGAGAAGGGAGGGAAGATTAGGCTGAAAGGCTTAGAGGTCTCAGCTGTGCTTAGAGACTCACAGTAGAAGGATCATGAAGTTGGATGGATAGACTCCCCACAACCTCCTACCCCCACCAGAAAGGTTGGTGATTTGAGGCTGGAGACCCTTCCTTTTCTAACTTTCTACCTAACAAGTTCCCTAAGGCAATACTCTCAGATGGTCCCCTTAGGGTCTGTGTCCTCAGACATACAGGAAACAGGAATCATTTTATATTGGGGTCTCTACCAACCCATTGAAAGAAGCCATGTTTTTTTTTATGGTGATTTTCTGTTGGCAGCTTTAGACTTAACCTAGGACCTTGGTCACCACTATTTTGCTCTTTCTAGTTTCTAAAATAGACCATGAGGATACCCAGTTCTCTCATAGATGTCTCTATTCCCAGGGAATTGGGTTGACACAGGAAATAGAAAACCTATAGTCATAACCACCACATTTGCACCCATCCTGGATTCTGAACTCTTCAATGTGGAGTGACCACTACAGAGTTACTATCCAAATCCTTGAACCTGTCCTTCATTGCCCTGGGAGGACTGGTTTCCCTGTGTCCTATGAATGGGATGCCCCTCGCCAGTATGTTCCCCTGTAAACAGGCCAGCACCTAGACCCCAGGGTGAGGTCTGAAAATGGTGTTCCAGATTACGCTGCCCATGGCGTCTCCTTTCCTGACCATCCCATTCTTCCCATAACCCCAACATTTCAGAGGAAGGGAGGGAAAATGCAAGGGCCTCCCTCTCTTAATACTGATGTTTCACTAAAACTAGACTCACAGAGCACAGAGTTCCCAGGAAAGTTAAACCAACCAGACCAAGTGGGATGAGTAAATTCTCAGATTTCCAGACTGTTGTATACAGCCTTTGGGAATTGGGGATGTTTTGTTAAGGTTTGGGCAGAAGCACAACTTTGTGACTGGCAGACACTATTCTCCCTGTTACTCCTCCCAGTTCCCTTCTGAAAAGTGCCAACTATTTCATTAGGCGATGCTGGGAGGGAAGGAAATTATACCTCCTGATCAAATAACCACAGTCTCCCTCAGCCATTCCTGACTTGGTATAAATGAATATCAATCTCATTTTACTTTCTTTTGCCATGAGGCCAGTTTCAAGCAAGTTAAAAGGCATACTTTGAGATCAGACGCAGGCCATTCCTTGTTCCCTGGTGGGGACTGTGGCAGGGGCTTGGGAAGGGCATATGGGCACCAGAAAAGTTAGAACTTTTTCTAATACCCCAAATACCATGAGTGCTTCCTGCTCTCATTTAGGTACTGAGGAAACCGCCTCCCACACCTCCACCCCAGAGTGATTTGGTATAGAGTCCCTGTATTAATCCAGTGGCAGTTTATTTAAGGTGGACTCAGCCAACTGTTATAAGCTGTACACTTCTATAGAATGTGTATATGCATCTGTGTGCAGAGCCTTGCAGAGAAATTCACAAAATTTTGAGGCTGGAATCATGGTCACAAGTTACTACAATTGCACAAGATCCTCTATTATTGATCTCTCCTTGAACTCTAATTATATCTTAAAAATGAAGACTGTCTGTCCTCCATTTACTGTAAGCCCCACCATTATTCCCATGCTCTTAAGAAAGCAAGAACCAGAAAAACCTGAAAATCTGAAACAGAATAGAAGGCAAAGAGCCAGATTCTGGGCTCTCAACATTATTCAACATTAGACTTACCTGATTTCTTTCAATGTGTAAGGGCAAAAAGTACTGCAGTGTGTGTGTACGTGTGTCTTATCCATTAGCAAGTCATCCTCCATCTAATTTCTTCTACACACAGCTGCTTTCCTTCTGAGGGAATTACTCCCTTCCCACCCCCTGATGTCTATTCTAAGCTCCCAGATTCTCCTCACATTCTTGGGTAACAAAATGAGAACATTTTCTGATTTTTTGATTCTCCTCCATGATTCCAGACTTTGCTCTAAATTGCACTTTAAATCATCTTGTCCCTTTAATACAACCTAGTTTATTCTCCTATAAGTCCCCCTCCTCTGCCCTCCAGAAAAACACCCCCACCGTCAACACTAGATGGCTCTTAGACTATAGCCCCCATCTCCTCTGAGCTGCAATCCTCTTTCAGGCTTTAGAAGCAGCCATGTCTGGTGAGAAATGAGGCCCTTGACCACACCAGCCATGGACTTGGCATGTCAGGAGAGCACTAGGCACAGATGTTAAGGGGGGAGGTTTCAGAGGATGGGAAAACAACTGGTGAGGGTAAAACAACTGGTGAGGGTAAAACAAAAGATGAGAAAGTGTGCTATTAGGAACTCAGTGAAATTGATGAAACCCTTGAGTTTTACGTGAGCTAGCAAACAAGAAGTAGGTGGAGTTTGGGAAATTAAGATATGATATATAAGAGAGGTTTATATAAACAGATCTCTATATAGAGAAACAGATGTATACAGGACCAAATATACTGAATGTACAGAAAGGAAGTGTTCAGAGATCTTAGCATGGGGGCAGATATCTTGCTCTGGTTTTGGGGTAGGGTTCCCCAGATTTCCAAACTTAACAACCAGTGATCCTAGTTAGTAAGAAAGTGAGATACCCAACAAAAGCTTTCCAGTGTGTGATTATGGGAAAGAGTGGAGCAAGCTTCTCTGCAGAAATAAAAGAGGCATCCATTGAGGCTTCTGATAAAGCTTGTGTTGCTGATAGGACCAGGGAGACAGAAGGAAAAGGGAGACACTCCATCTATAGAAACCTAGGAGAAGTGTCCTGTCACTGTAGCACTTTTAAAAAAATTTTTTAAATAAAAGCACCCTTCTATTTCCCCCTCTTGAAGTATACCGGATTTCCTCTTCTTCCACAAGGGTGGGGCAAATGCAGCTCCAATCCCTGGAGGACTTGGCTATTCAACTGAGAAGCTGAACACTTTGGTGTGTGGAGGAACTAAAGAGGAGCCTTGATCCTAGAATCTAAAGGCCAAGTTGAAAAAGGTGATGGGCCCAAGATACTTCAAAGGCAGAGGCTCAGTTCTCTATGTGGCTGCAAGCAGCCCAAAGAGAATGCTCTCTACGACAGAGGCGTCCTGAGTCCCAGTCCTGGCATTTGGGCATGTGGGCACAGTGCTCTGGCTTTGATGCTTCTGTATAAAAATGAGTGGGGCTACCAGCTGCCATAGAGGATTGTACAGTTACACGAGAGGCTTCCAAGAGCCCTACTCTGTGCTTCACCTAATTATCCCCTCAACCTCCGTCAGCTAATAAGACCATCCAGGGATTTCCCTATAAGGCCTTAGCAGAGAAACAAAGCCAGTTTTACTATTGCTACAAGCCAGGGACACTGTCCCCTCCCCAAGGCTGCTACCCTGTTCCTTTACCTCTGCTATTTAACCTAATTTATTTGTAAAATAACATACTATGTTTGCAATAAAGTTTGCATGGGCCTCCAGGCTCAGTAATGGCCAACTCTATTGAAGTAAAAGTATCTAGGGATAGTTTTCCCATCCATTGCATTCAAGACTAAAATAGGTCAAATTTATCTAAGAAAAAGATGTGTGAGATTTTTGGGTTTATTTTATTTTTGTCTGTTCAGAACAAGCTACTAAATAAAATGGATGAATCTCTGTTCTTCCCTCTAGCTTCTTTTAGAAATCCAAACCAATCCTATTATTAAGGCCTGATTTTACGGGCCTACCTGGAAAGCAGGTTGAATTTGGCTGTGCTGGAAGAACTTCTGATCACGTGGCCACACATTTCCCTCATTGCTGTCATCCATTCCTTCTACACCTTTCCTATACCTCCCCTCATTAACTTTAAGATCCTTTAGTAAATACCTTTCAAACTCAGGTTTTAAAGAATAAGATTTGTTTTTAAAGACCTAAAAATCTGAAAATTGGCTCAACTTAATCAAATAAAGTCAAGTTGCTTTGAATTCTGGGCACTGTCCCTTTGCCAGTGATCACATGACCAATTTCCTTTCTGTTACCATGTAGATATTCCTTATATATCTTCAAGGCTCTATAAGCATATTTAACTAATTGTTGGGCATTTCTTCCCCCAACTCTCAAAGAAATGGATTTCCCTTCTACTCTTATCTGTCACTAGCCTGTAAAAGGCCTGGTTCAGTATCTAGCCCTAAATTCTTTCTGACAAGATGCAACAGATACCAGTCACTGACTCTTATTCCCCAGCAATGGAAGGACTGAGGAAGGAGGGAGGAGAAAATTGGGACTCTTATCATCAATAAATACTTATCTACATTTGGAAAACACAAGTTTAGAGATGAGTCAAACGACATATGTGATATATGATATATGAAATATAGTCCCCTAAAATTTAAGAAACTTACACACTTGTGAGGGAAACAAGCCAAAATAACAAGTAGCATAACCTAAGGGCCAGATATACCATTAACAACATGTTCCAAAGAGTGAGATCTCTGTGGAAGCATTTCACAGGGATAGGCACTAGCGACAGTATCAATCTAAGAGTTCTGGTTAGAACACATTTGACATTAAGATTCGAGGAAAAATCAGCAAATACTGAGTTCCTATTAGGTGGAAGGTACCATTTAAGTAATAAAGAAATAGAAGCCACAATACACTCCATAAAGGGATGTGCAGTCATATTAGGCTCTGCACCTGCTTGCCAACCCCCAACCTTGTTAACTCTTACTATACCCATCTTAGACCAAACACGTTATGACTGCACCCCATATTCCTCTTTCATAGTTCTTACCACAGCTGCAATTTCATAGTACTTGTAAGTTTATCTGACTAATATCTGCCTTGCTCAGACATTAAGTGCCATGTGAACTTGCTTCAAGTTCACACAGCTAGTATGCCACAGAGTTGGTGTATTTAATAACCATAAAAGATTATTTCATAAGGCATGGTATAATTAGCAATTAAAAAATAGAATAGACAATAAACACCACCATTTTGCAGGGAGATCATTTCCACTCATTAAGGTCTGGGAAGAGTTTACAGAGGAGTTGAGGTTGGAGCTCAGTATTAAAGGACAGATAGTATTTATTTTTATTTATTTATTAAATATGTTTTTATTGATTCTTTTATTTTGGAGAGAGAGGGAAAAAGAGATAGAAACATCAATGTGAGAGAGAAACATTGATCGGCTGCCTCCTGCATGCCTCCCCGACCCCTGCATCAGGGATTGAGCCCGAAACCTGGCATGTGCCCTGACTGGGAATCCAACTGGGACCTCTCAGTCCATGGAGTGACGCTCAATCCACTGAGCCACACCAGCCAGGCAAGGACAGACAGTATTTAAATAAGTGAAGAGAAATACAATTCCTTGCAGGTGGCACAGCATAAGCAAAGGTATTATAGGAAGAAAGCACAGGGCATATTTAAGGGATGGTTAATAAAACTAGAATTGAGAGTTTTATAGGGGAATAAGTTGAAAAGGTAGGGTAATGGTGGGATTAAATGTCAGGCTAAATAGCTTATTATTTTTTTAATAGGCAGTGGGGAAATACTGAAGATGTTTCAAGAAGGATAGAATTTAATTAAAGTACTGATTATGAATATTAATCTGGCAGTAGAATTTAGAGATAGGAGACACCAAACCAGTTAAGAGACTTGCAAAAGACTGGTGAAAAGGTAATTGTCACAGATCCTAGAATAGTACAAGTATTTAATCATATTAAATTGAGTTGTGGAAGGTCTGGACTAAGGATGATGAGCATAAAAATCAGAAATAGATTAAAAAGAAATTACAAAGTAGGAAATATAAGCAAAATCTAGCCAAAAATGAAAGTGATTAAATTAGTCAAGGTTCTAGCAGGAAACAGATGGCACACTCAAAGGGCTAACTGGACATGGTTTAATGAAGGGATTATTTACAAAGGTGTGACCAGGGACTCGCAACAGTAGGAAGCCTTCATCAGTTTTAAACCTAAAGGGACAGTTATTGGAAGGTGGTGAGAGCTGTAGCCAAGGGAGAGGGCTATAGCTTAAGCTGAAGTCATGGCCTTAAGTAGGGGAACTCAGCCACTAACAAAGATCTGTTAGTGCTTCCCATTGACCTGTCCTAATGGGAAGCCAGAGTGCAAGGGAGCCTACGTGATGCTGCCCATAGAGATTAACCATGGAGAGCACAGACCACAAAAAGATGGAGAGTAGATCTGTAAAGGTAATGAGAGCATATACAGCACAGTGATCAAGGTCAAGGGCCTAGCTAAGGATGCTAGGGATGAGCTATGCATGTCTGTGCTTTCCCTAGCCATTGGCTCTAAACGGATGGAAGCCTAGAGGCAGACAGTGAAAGGGGGAAGTATGAAGAGGTAATGACCAGCTGAGCATATGAAAAAATGTAGCTCTTTCAGAGACAGGTGAGAAAATAGAATCCCTAAGTCCAATGCAAAAAGCTCAATATGGGGTCCTTAGATTCTGTGAACTTCTCTCACCTAGAAGTAGTGATGAAAATCAAATTGCCCTATCCAATTTATTATACTGGACTCCAGTCTCTATTTCATTCCCACATCTACAACTCACACCTTCGAGTTCAGTGATCCAAACTTAGTTTCTTTTGATTACTTGTTTCCTTATCTGCCCAAATTAGGTGCCTCCCAACTCTTTATTAAATCAGTTCTATAGAAAAAGACTGAGGCCTCACCAAAACCAACCCAGCCAGTGGAACCCTTACATAGTTAACCCTCAGACGTCTACTTTCTGGGACTAAGTCTCACTTTTTTGGCAGAGGAAAAAAATAAATCAAAGATAGAGTCACAGAAAGACTATCAAAAAGACTCAGATAAGAGATCAATGGGAGGAGGCAGAAAAGAAAAATCAGAATTCATCATCATTTTATTTGCAGTTTAGCTACATACATAGTGGTTAAGAATAGTCTGGGTCAGAAAGACCTGCTTTTGAGTTCCAGCTCTGTCACTAGTTCACCATGTGACTTAGGAACATTACTTAGTATCCATAAGCCTTGAATTCTACATTTGTAAAGGTCAAAATATCTACCATACATGATAAGTATTTAGCACAATGCTTGGCATATTGCAAGTAATTCCTCATAAAGCTGGCTATTAGAAATCACCATCAGTCTGAGCTGGTTTGCTCAGTGGTTAGAGTGTCGGCCTGTGGACCAGAGTTGAGGGTTCGATTCCCGGTCAAGGGCATGTACCTTGGTTGCAGGTTTGATCCCCAGCCCTGATGGGGGTTATGTGGGAGGCAACCAATTGATGTGTCTCTCTCACATTGATGTTTTTCTTCTCTCTCCCTTCCTTCCACTATATCTAAAAATCAATGGAAAAATATTTTCAGACGACGATAAATAAATAAATAAATAAATAAATAAATCACCATCAGCATTATTATTTTTTAAACGGTGATGTGCTGTCCTTGTATATATGGCTACTATAATGCAAAAATTGTTAGAAGTAATTATCAATATAAGGCATATAATTACACCAAGGCACATAAAAGGGCAGAGATATCAGAATATGAATATGGAATGTAAAAGAGTAACATGGTTCTTCCAAAGGATAAACTATATGATGGCTGCATGCTCAGAGTGGACAGAATCTTCTACTCTCCTTATTCTAGTTTAGAAAACTTCCCTAGGGAATAGAACCAGTCTGTAAAATCAAGTAAATCATTATTTACTGAACATTTGCCATGTGTCCAAGACCACAATAAACATGAGTAATTTAAAAAATTAAGGATAAAATATAATCTCTAACCTCATAGGGTTTTATGCATACAATCTAAAGTAAATTATGAAATTCTACAATACAGGCTATAAGTGGAATAAGTACCCAGAGAAGGGAAACAGCTAATGGACTGAAGTCCTTGGTGAGAAATTCATGAAAGTAGGGCTGAAGTGTAAGGAGGTAGAACTTGAGATAGGTAAAGGATATTTGAAAGAGAAAAGGACTGGGAGTTGGGAACACTCCAAGGATATCACTCTAGAGGTATTTTAGTAATAGGAACATCTAAAATCAATCCAACTGTTACTGAAGGTTTGGTAATGAGTTAGATGCTGAGGTACAAAAAAGAACAAAATAATTTCCCTTCTCAAAGAATCAAAAGGGGCCCGGTCAGTGCGGCTCAGTGGTTGAGCGTGGGCCCATGCACCAAGAGTTCGCCAGTTCAATTCCCAGTCAAGGCACATGCCCAGGTTGTGGGCCAAATCCCCACTGGGGGGCATGTAGGAGGTGGCCAACTGATATTTTCTCTCATCGATGTTTCTATCTCTCTCTCCCTCTGTCTTCCTCTCTCTCTCTCTCTCTCTCATCAATAAAGAAAAAAAAAGAACTCAAAAGTGTCCTGATGGAAAACTAGGAAAGAGAAATAAATAAATAAATAAATAAATAAATAAATCGGTTATCACAAAGCAATAAAGGATGGACTACAATAAAGGATGGACATTCCAAAAGGGAGTTCTGGAGCACTGTGACAGCAGGCACTGGGCAGGACTTTATGGAGTAGGGCAGGATCTTCTGTGTAAATGATTTTCTAGAGCTTACAGTCTCTCTGCCCTTGCCCATCTACCCCTGTTAGTGGAGGGAACTGGCATCCAAATTATATTGCCTGGTGAAAAAATGAGCTGAGAGGCAGGGTATGCATTTAGGAGTTAACACTTGGGCCGAGGCCCAAAGGGTTAAGCAGTGACTGGGGCGGGGAAGGCAATCTTGACAGAAAGAATAGCAAATATAGTGCCCGATAAGGGCCCGACAGAATTTAGGGGCAAGGATTCCCCGTCCTACACATCCCTCCACCTACGGTTGCCTAAATCCAAATTTAGATAAATAACTGATAATTTCAAACTACGTATAAGTATGTCCAAACACGGCATGGGAGGTACACGCTCCGGGCTCCCTTCAACTCACCCTAGCCCGTCCTGGGGCCCCCACCCCCCTGGGATAACCCGCGAGCCGGCCGAGTAAAGCCTGAGAAACTAGCACGGGCTTGATTTTCCCTCACTCCATTTTCCACGCTTCGGTTTCCTGCCCAGGCCTGAGGAACACAGCGCGCAGCTCGCTCCATTTCGGTGGTCCGGCCACGCCGACCGAAGCTAGGGAGGGGTAAAGAGGGGTTCACACACACACAAACAACCCTCAGCTCCACTAGGTAAAACGACAGCCCGGCAAGCGGAAGTCTCCGCCCCAAGGACCGGAAATTACGGCCCCGCCGGAGGAGGACCGGAAGCGAGACAGCCAATCCAGAGGAAGGAAATTCTCACGCTAGCGCGACTGAGAACCCGGCCGGGGGCTCGCGAGCGGAAGCAGCACGGGGGCGGGCCTCATGCCGGAAGTGCTCACCTGCAGTTGTTTCGGGGGGCGGATTAGCTGGTTGGAGATGCTCGGGCGCCGGGAGGCGAGGGGTCGGGTCGAAGGTTAGCGAACCGAAGGCAGTTAGGCGCTGGGGCGCCGCGGCAGTCAGGATCATGGCCCCGAGCCAGCGCTGGGCAGAATGGTTCCTGAGCCCGCGGGTATCCCCCGCCGGGGTGTTCGGTGTGGCCTTCCTTGCCCGAGTCGCCCTGGTTTTCTACGGGGTCTTCCACGACCGGACCCTGCTCGTGAGGTACACAGACATCGACTACCAAGTCTTCACGGACGCCGCGCGTTTCGTCACGGAGGGGCGCTCCCCTTATCTGAGGGCGACCTACCGTTACACCCCCCTGCTGGGGTGGCTCCTCACGCCCAACATCTACCTCTGTGAACTCTTCGGCAAGTTGCTCTTCATCAGCTGCGACCTCCTCACGGCTTTCCTCTCCTACCGCCTGCTGCTGCTCAAGGGGCTGGGTCGCCGCCAGGCTTGCGGTTACTGTGTCTTTTGGCTTCTCAACCCCCTCCCCATGGCGGTGTCCAGCCGAGGCAACGCGGACTCGATCGTCGCCTCGCTGGTGCTCATGGCCCTGTACCTGATAGAGAAAAGACGCGTCGCGTGCGGCGCTGTGTTCTACGGGCTGGCGGTGCATATGAAGATGTACCCGGTGACCTATGTCCTCCCCATCGCCCTCCACCTGCTGCCGGGACGCGGCGAGGACGGCGGCCTCTGCCCACCCCGGTGTTCCCTCCGGGCTCGCTGTTACGAATTCCTGCAGCGGCTGTGCCATCGGGCTGTGCTGCTCTTTGTCGCCGTTGCTGGGCTCACGTTTTTGGCCCTGAGCCTCGGTTTTTACTATAAGTACGGCTGGGAGTTTTTGGAGCACACCTACCTGTACCACCTGACCCGGCGGGATATCCGCCACAACTTCTCGCCCTACTTCTACATGCTGTATTTGACCGCAGAGAGCAGCTGGAGCTCCTCCCTGGGGGTCGCGGCGTTCCTACCACAGCTCATCTTGCTTTCAGCAGTCTCGCTCGCCTACTACAGGGACCTTCCCTTTTGTTGTTTTCTTCATACGGCCATTTTTGTGACTTTTAACAAAGTCTGCACCTCCCAGTATTTTCTGTGGTACCTCTGCCTACTGCCCCTCGTGATGCCCCTAGTGAGAATGCCTTGGAAAAGAGCCGCCGTTCTCTTAATGCTGTGGTTTATAGGGCAGGCCTTATGGCTGGCACCTGCCTATGTTCTTGAATTTCAAGGAAAGAACACCTTTTTGTTTATCTGGTTAGCTGGTTTGTTCTTCCTTCTTATCAACTGTTCCATCCTAATTCAAATTATTTCCCATTACAAGGAGGAACCCCAGACAGAGAGACTCAAATATGACTAGTATATGCTCCAGTTCTTCTGCCACTTCTATTACATTCTGATTGTTCTGAATGGACCAGAAGAGAGCTTTGGAAAAATTTTGAACATCCTAAGCACTCTAGTGAAAGTTCAGTTTTGGAGCATAACACCTTGTTCCATCAACTTTAAATGAATGTTTGCCTTATGCATAAAGGGGACTCAGTAATTGGGATCCACCCTTTAGGAAATGGAAGGGCTGTTTGAAAATCGAAGGGCTAATGAAACTGTTGGATGTTAAAAGGTTTTTGTAGAAAAATACAGGAATATGGTCAGAGATGTAAGGTCTAAGACAGTATTTGTTCCAGTTATAAGACTGTCTGAAGCAGTCTTATTTTTTAACTCCCACTTTTTCTTTCTAAAGCTTTCCTGATAGTTGTGAAAATTCACAGAATGTGCCTCAAGTACAGCTTTTAGATATGAAGTGTTAAATAATACTACTGTGTTCAGGTTGGCAAAGTTAATTCTGTATTAAAAGTGGAGGCGTAGAAGATAAAGAATCCAAAAAATTTAAATTGTAATCCTGTTTCATGTATTTGTTTTGTAACTTAGTTTTTCAGCACTTAGTCCCAGTGGTGTTAGAGTACCATTTGGTTTTATACCAAAGGGATTAAATTTCAATTTATCCAGTTTAAACTTGAATTATTACATATCTTAAAATAGCACCTTGCTTTTGATGTTTGAGGTCTGCAAACTACTAGGAGATAAGGACATTTCAGTGTTCTCTTGTACCCCTTTGTTTGTAATTTTCTGATTGTTCAAAAGTATTTTTCATCTACAATTTAAGTTAAAGTGTTATCTCGTAAAAATGAATATTAGTAGATTGCCGTCTCTCGGCCTGCCAGGATTGGTGCAACGCAATGAAACTACAAGCACACGCTGCTTGGAATGAGGGGGAGCTTTGCAAGGGAGCAAATGCTCCAGATCTCTTGATGCAGTCCCTTTTATTTGCAGATTGGTACCCCCAGGTTAAAATTATTTCCTTGAAGCCAAAAGATAACAAACCCTTATTCACACGCAAATGAGGCACCCAATACACCTGGGTGGGCCAGGTTCCCCCCAACCCCACCCCAGGTCAGGTGAGAGTGCTTAACACAAGGTTACAAAACGTCCATCTTCCAACCCCCTAACCCCACAGTAGATTTTAGGTGATAAATTGTTAATAAGACATTTCCCAGCTTAAAAGTATCTATTTCACTTATGAAAATTCCATGATAGAAATGGAGACTACATGAGAGGCTCCTGGAAAGTATAAGAAGCATCTTAAGTATCCATTAGTCTTTTAGACCAAGAAATTGAGGGAGAAATTGTGGAAATGAGGCTTTGCAGATTTATTTCCCTATTATTATAATATTTCTGGGGAAATGCTTTCTGGGTTTTAGCCAAGCATCCTTTAGAAAAAATTATTTTTTACATAGCCCATTAGCTTGGGGATTCCCTAACACTAATATGCAGTAGTAATATATAAGTTTGATTTTGTGATTATGATTTTAAAAGATGAGTAATTTAACAACATTGATTTTTTTTACAGAGAAAAACAAACAAACAAAACCCTTCAGAGTAGTAGTATATTTTATGTCAGGCCAGGCCTTAAAAAGCCTTTGAGAACCTGACCGGTGTGGCTCAGTGGTTGAGCATTGACCCATGCACCAAAGAGGTTGCCAGTTCAGTTCCGGGTCAGGGCACATGCCCAGGTTGTGGGCCAAATCCCCAGTGTGGGGCATGCAGGAGGTGGCCAATTTATGTTCTCTTTCATCTATGTTTCCATCTCTCTCTCCCTCTCTTCCTCTCTCTCTAAACCTCTCTCAATAAAGAAAAAAAAAATTTTAAAGCCTTTGAGAACAAGATATCTATAGGTGGTCATAATTATTGGCAGCATTTTTTTTTTTTAATCCTCACCTGAGGACAAATTTTATTTATTTTCAGATAGAGTGGGAGGGAGGGGTAGAGAGAGAGAGGGAAACACCTCCTGCACAACCTGGACCAGGGCCGGGGATTGAACCACAAGTGAGGTACGTGCCCTTAACCAAAATTGAACCTGTGACTGGTCCGCGGGCTGACGCTCTTAATTGCTGAGCCAAACCGGCCAGGGCTGTTGGCAGCATTTTGGTGGATCTCTTTTGGGACCTGCTATTAGAAAAAGGGGAAGAATGTGTGGCTTTGTATGGGTTGCTGTTTTTGTGAAAATAGTAGAGAAAACTGAAGACAGTGACCTTTCTTATAATATCTGGTCTTCAATCCCATATTAGATATTATCTTGTGGGCTCTTGGTATATGACTGTAGTGGCCTTCCAGCCATGGCATTAACCCCCCCCCCCAATTCTTTTATAGTAATAATTAAAAAATTTTTTGTAGAACTGGCAGGGAAAGGGGTGGGTAACAGAATTCTAATTGTGTTTTTGGTATTCCTGAGTATTTTTTAAAATAGCAGTATATTTACTTATTAATTTTTTTTTTTTTTTACTTCAACATTCTTATTGTGGCTTATTCCTCATATCTACATTGATATTACAAGGAAGTTAACCTTGTAAATGCATCATTCTTTTATTGTTAGACTTTTAAGATTGCTTTTCATTTTTAATATTCTAAATAAGACTTTAAACATTTTTGATGTTTTAGATCACTCCCTTACATTCTTAGAAGTCAGTGGAGTTCTATTGGGGTATTTGGAGGGAACTTCAATTCCAGATCCTGCCCTGCAAGAAATTCTCTACCAAAGAACTACAGGCATTTCTTAAAGGTGGAGAGTATTCTGCAGCTTATATACTGCAAAAAATGTAGTCAGTTAACTCAAGAAATTACTTTATTTGGTTCCTTGTTTAAAATATTTTTTCATTTATTTTTTTCTAGTTTTTTAAAATCTTTGTCTTCTTTTTATTTGCACTTTTGTTGTGTTTTTTTATTGGTCTTTAATCACACCTTAACATTGTAGAACACTTTGGCTTTTTTCTTGCATAATTCTTTTTGTTTTTATACCACTCCTTAAGATCAATATACCCATTTACAGATAAACATTAATTATTAGCATATGAGGACTTGTTGTTAAGATAGTCTATATTCTAAACAGAGGGCACTACATAACTTATTTTGTGGTTGCCTTAATGTCTTCTAAATGTGGTCCCTAAATATACCTAGATACATTCCTTGGATTAGGTTCATTGGAAAGGCTAATATGTTTCCTGTCCCCACACAAAGGAATCTTAAAATCATAGATTTTAGTTACTGACTTCTCACCATCTAGTTGAATGGCTCTATAAATGGCATAACATTATTTCAAAAGTTTGTGGGACTTGTCTTTTAGTTAATTGACTTTGGCTTAATATGGGATATATTGTTATTTCCCCATTAGCTGTTTTTGCACTACCACCCCACTTCCACCATCTTTGTGATGAGTGAAAAAAGGAAAAGATGGAACATTTCACATGGGACAGTCCCTAAATGCAACCACTTTTCCCTCTTAATACTTTATTATGAACAATTTTAAACATTACTCATATACCTATTATCTAACTTCAACAATTAACATTTTGCCATATTTGCTGTATTTATAGTATTTATATAATTTTTTTCCTGAACCATGTGAAGTAGCAAATATTGAACTTCACCACTAAATATTTCAGCATTCATCTAGAAATATTTTCTTACATATCTTTCCTATTTTTTTTTATTCTCACCTGAGGATATTTATCATCAGATAGAGTGGGAGGGAGAGAGAGAGACATTGATGTGAGAGAGAAACATCGACTGGTTGCCCAACCAGGGCTAGGGATGAATTGCAACCGAGGTACGTGCCCTTGACTGGAATCGGACTGGGACTCATTGGTCCCCAGGCTGACGCTCTAACCGCTGAGCCAAACCAGCCAGGGCTCTATAATATTTTTATCTAATGCAATTTAGCAACCATTTTCAAATTTCTTCAATTGTGTTTAATTTTAAAGAACAGATATTCTTGGACCTCAAAGATTTCCCAAGAGAAATCATGGTGGGTAATACATAACTAAGAAGCTTGGATCTTTCCCTGGTCTTTACAATAGAATGGAAGGGATTTACTTTCCATCAAAGTTGAACAAGTAATTCTTTTGTACAAGTCTTTCTATCTCCCTCTTAAGAAAACAGGGTAGTAATCATTCCAAGAAATTATCCTGGCTGGGTTGCTCAGATTCTCTCTCTCTCCCTTCCTCTCTAAAATCAATAAACATCCTCAGTAAGGATAAAAAAAAAAGATGATATGTTTTGGACTCCTAGTATCTACCCTGTCCCCCCCCCCCCCCCACACACACACATACCCTTGATGGTGAGTGTGTTGGCTTTTCATGATTAACTGATTTGGGATACCTATTCTGCCATATGTTGTTTCTTGTAATTTTTTTTTTTTTTTATCCTCACCCGAGGATATTTTTTCCATTTTTGTACAGATAGAGTGGGAGGGAGAGAGAGGAAAGGAGAGAGAGAGAGAGAGAAACATCGACGTGAAGGGACACATCGAGTGGCTGCCACCCGCACGACCAACCAGGGCCGGGGACAAACTGCAACCGAAGTACGTGCCCTTAGCGGGAACCGAACCCGGGTCTCTCCGGACCGCAGGCCGACACTCTAATCGCTGAGCCAAACTGGCCAGGGCTGTTTCTTGTAATTTTCACAGCAACACCTTAGAGTTGGTATTCACACTCCCCATTTTATAGATGAACAAAGAGGATCAAAGATTAAATGATTTACTAGTAAGTCACAGGGCTAGAAATAGAAGTGAGTTTTCCCTGACTAAATGTCGTATTCTCCATTATATTATGTTTTGGGTTTTTCCAAAGTGCCCAGACCCAACAGGTGAAGACTGCTGCAAAATAAATGGAATTCAACACTAACTCTAATAAATTTGTCCTTCCTAATCTTTTAGGTATTTGCTTGAGGGGCAGCTCTCTTGCAGTTGTACAAAAATTTCTGTCATTCTTAAACTTTTCAATAATTCCAGATTCTTTAATAACTTCCTCCCACATCCAAACCTCACCAAATTGTATAATTTCTTTGTTACTGCTGACTTCATAGTGCCCTTTCCCTCCATAGTCTGGTCTAAGAAGTTGATTTGCTGACCCTCATGTTAGCCCAACTATTTGTAAATCAACTTATGGAAATAATGTGGCCATAATTTCCAAAAGGTAAGTGCTCATTGTTACATTTCTCCTGCAGTGCGCATTCACGAAATTGAGAGCATGGCCGTACGAGCTCAGATTCAGATAGCTTAGGCTCAAATCCCAGTGTGTGATTTTGGACAAGATTCTTTTATCTAGATAAATTTTCTAACTGAAATGGGGATGATAATATAATTCTCATAGAATTGTGTCTAAGGACTAAATGAGGTAATATATCCAAAATGCTTGTGCTGATACAGAACAAACTATTCCGCATTGCCTCCCCAGCTTTAACATCCGTTTACAGAAGGAGTTCCTTTTTGAGTCTAGGCTTAAGCCTTTCCCCCCAACCTAATGAATATAGGAAAAGAACCTGAATTTATTCTAAATAATTGTTTTAACTACCTGTTACTATAAACTTTATTCCTTCTTATCATGAATAGTTCTTTGAAAAGATAGTTATATGTGGAAATGTATGTACAGATTTCTCAGATGGCTGGTTCTGGCTTGACAGTTTTGTATTTGTGTATTTCTGTCATACATTAGTTGATTAATGAGTGGAGGTTTGGCTCATGCCCCTAAATTACACAGCATTTCTTTTCTCCATTGTGTTGCGGAGTCATTCAAGGATTGATGCTCTGTTGGAAGCACACGTCTTCTCGCTGGATCAGAATTATCTGAGCAGCACAAGCATTTATTTGGCGCTGATCCAGGAGAACCATTCATTGAGTCAAAACAAGCATTCATATTCATTATCCTGAACAAAAACCATAC